AAGATAAAGAGAGAATCTTAAAAGCAGCAAGAGAAAAGAAGTTAGTTACCTACAGGAGTGATTCCCACAAGACTGTCAGCTGATTTCTCAAAAGAAACTTTGCAGACTAGAACGGACTGGCAAGAAATATGCAGTGATGAGAAGCAGGGACCTACAGCCAAGATTGCCCTACCAATCAAAGCTATCATTTGGAATTGTAGGGCAGATAAAGAGCTTCCCATACAAGAAAAAACTAAAGGAGTTCATCATCACCAAACCACTATTATATGAAATGTTAAAGAGATTTATTTAAGAAAAAGAAGAAGATCAAAACTATGAACAATAAAATGGCAAAATGCATATCTATCAATTGAATCTAAAATACAAACTAAGTAAACAAGAAGAACAGAGATGGAATCATGGATATGGAGAGTGTTTCTATGGTTGCCAGATGGGGGGGATGTGTGGGAGAATGAGTAAAGAGGTCAGGGGATTAAGAAGTAAAAATAGGTAGTTACAGAACATCCAGGGGGATGTAAAGTACAGTATAGGAAATGGAGTAGCCAAAGAACTTATACATATGACCCATGGACATGAACAAAGATATGGATTGCCTGAGAGAGAGGGGTTGCTGTGTGGAGGGGGGAAAAAGGGGAAAAATCAAGACAACTGTAATAATAGTATAATCAATAAAATATAGTTAAAAATAAAGTTACAGAACTGTACTGAACACATTTTATAAACAGTGAATTGGATTCACTACCTTTACATGTTTATTAAAAAATCAGGCAGGTATTAAGTTTGAGAATCTTTCTAAGTATCAGCCAGGTTATTACTAAACTGTAGTTTGTATAATCATATGATCAATCTGAATCTTCACAATCATAATTTTGAGGGCTGCAAAAATATAACTTTTTTTCATTCTCTATAACTGATTAAAATCATATCCCTCCTGACAAAATTTTTTGGAGTGATGGAAGTATTCTCTAATTTAATTGTGGTGGTAGTTACAACACTTGTAAATGTTTGTCAAAACTATCAAACTATACACCTTAGAAGAGTGGATTTTGCTACATAAAAATTGTATTTCTACAAATTTGAATTAAAAATAATCCAAACCAATTTTTTACTGATGATAGAAATTTTGATCATTGAACTCAAAATAAATTCAGTCACTTCCAACATGAAGCTAAGTTTCCATTGGTCAAAAACTGGTCAAAGATTTCTCATTCTGCTCCATTTCCTACTCCATGTGGATTCCTTGTTCCTACTCCATGTGGATCACCCTTAGAAGTGGAGAGGAGCCTGGTGTAAGAGCATCTTCTGTGGTCTTTGTTCATCCCTGATGGGTCTCATTCTACTTCATCTTTAGGAGTTGCCCCCTCCCTTTGAACCTCTGCTAAAGGAAACACATGTCCTTCCATGATGTCAGTTTCCCTCTCCAAAACTTTTAGTGAAAAACCATATTGGAGGAATTTATTTTGACCTCTTCCTGAGCCATGTGACCTTTTTAATATATCCTTATGACTAAAGAATCCATTTTATGGAGGTGTTAATGTTTAATGATTGGGGTTGATGCTGATAATTCATCATTAACCAATACTTGACACAGACTCTAGCCTAAAATGATGTTTGCTTTTATTTAAGGATTAATTTTTTTATTGTTGTTCAATTACAGGTATACCCATTCCTCTCCCTCCCCCCCACCATTACTCTCCTCCGCCCTACCCCCTCCACCTCCTACATCAAAAAACCTGCAGGTGAAAGTTTGGTAGATTTTTGTGTCACTAATGAGATGATGTTGAATCTTATTATGTAGGTCACAGGTTTATGGGCCCAAAAAATTCTAAGCTTTGACAAGGCATGTGCTGTGTATTGCTTGAGAGAGAGGGAAATTGTTGAAATGACAATAAATATAGGTAAATGTAAGAATGAGAGTGTTGAAGATGATGACACGGAGAACACAAGTGGAAGAAAATGTCTTCCAAATGGTGAAACTATATAGTTTAGCTATCAAATGAACTCGGTGATAATTGTGGCAAATAGGAAGACCAGCATTTTATTCTGAACTTATGGTGGACTTTGTCAGAGTGAGCAAAACTTTAATAAGCTGCTGAAGCTACTAATCTCAAAAAGAAAAATTTAGCATCAACTATGGTAAAAAAATTTTAAAAATTTGGCAAAAATGCACAATATGTATGGATAACTTAAACCAAGTTAACATTTTCAGATAATTTTAGTTAAATCAAAGCACAGATATATTAATAATTAACTTAAAAGCTGCATCAGTAAATGGGTGGATCAATAACTGGTACATTTATGCAGTGGAGTACTACAGAGCAGAAAGCAAGAAGGAGTTCCTACCCTTTCCAAAAACATGGATAGAACTGGAGAGGATTATGCTAAGTGAAATAAGCCAGGCAGTGAAAGACAAATACCGTATGATCTCACTTATAAGTGGGACCTCACCAACAAAACAAACAAATGAGCAAAATAGAACCAGAAACATGGAAATAAAGAACAAACTGACAGTAACCAGAGGGGAGTGGAAAAGGGTGTAATGGGGAAAGAAGGGGAACATGTACAAAGGACCAATGGACAAAGACAAAGAGGGGAGGATTGAATGTGGCAGATAAGGGGTCGATAGGGCAGGAGAGAGTAATGGGAGAAAAAGGGAAAAATGTAATTGAACAATAAAAATTTTTTAATTGCTTCTGTAAGAATGATTGTTTGTATTCTGAAGTGTTGCTTCATAATACTTGTCTTTGAATATGTTCAAGTAAAATAATCTCTACCATTCTGAACAACATTGATTTCTCAAAACCTAGCCTTGTATTTTTCAAGTAATCAAACTAACCATAAGTTATTTTTTAACTCACAGATTATACTTATTGTTGGGTTCCTTCAACAGTTCCTTACTGTTGGGAAGTAGGTCACTTCCTTGTGTGTGAGCTGTGCCTCTCGTAAAGTAAAGATAATTTGTTAGCCTTCTGCAGTTTAACAACAGAATGCATGGCTGTTGCCTAGGACATATGGTCCTGCTTTAAATTAACATTGAGCCCTGACTTTCATGCCCAAGGAGTTGGACTGAACAAAGGATTTCCTGCAATCTTCACTTGATAAGTCTCATTTAGAGCACATAATGTTTTAGAATGCATCCAAACAACATGTCAACCAAGCATTCTTCAAATTCTCCCTTCTCATTAAGTTAGAGGGGGAAGAATTACATATTGCATTAAGGATCATGAAATGTTTGGAGTTAGAATATATTGTTATGAATTTAACTTTAAAAAAAGAATCTACATGCTTTTGTTGCAGAACTATAGCAAATGTTTGGTGAATTATGTTATCTAATAGAATTAAAGTAAACTCAGTGCTAAGGATTCCAGCAAAATGTTTGTTTCTCTGGTTGGGGTCATGTTTTCTTTAACTTCCAATTCAATCTATGTGACTCTTTTTGATGTGGTTTGAGAATAAAATTTAGTGCTCAACTATGACAGCCTCTTTGTTCTAAATTTCTGGTACATTTATTTTTCTTTGTATTTTAGAAGGCAATTACTTTTTTGGCTTATATGTGTTAAGCTTAAGTTATGGCAATCAGCTTCTGGGAAGACAGTGTTGAGAAGTTTTTGAGGTGCGGGCAGGTAGCAGGGAAAGGGCGTGATTTGATCACAACGGTTGAGTGAGGGCCGAGCGCTGTATTTTGTGTTATGAATATATGATGTCTGTTCTAAATAATTTTTGATGTGTACTTTTGAAACCTTGAACTATTAATTTATTTTTAACTTTATATATGTTTTAATATTCTAAATGCCCTTATTTTTTCAAAGTTGTAAGCAAGTTCACTCATCTGAAATGGAAAAAAATTCTCAGGAAACAAAACCATGGTTTCCCTATAAAGACATCCAATCATGCTTGTCCACATATTTGTTTTCATGAAGAATTCCAGTGTAAGTTTTGGCTTAATTCAGTTTAGGCAGTTGCACAGGTTATAAGACCAGATCATCTTCACAGGTATTTTAAAAGATTTCTTTGGTTGTCTTAAATTCATGAGAAGTGTTCTAATTTTCTTCTTAAACTCCACTGGGTGTCACTCTGGGGTATTTTATAATATGTAAGACTGCACAAAGAAACTGATTTATCTTCTCTGCTTACACCATTTCCCAATATACCACATTTGTCTTTTTAAAGGTCAGGCATGATGGAAACAGACAATGTTTCTCACTTACCTTGTTTTCTTACTTGTTGGATTTTTATGTCTGAGTTCTTTGGAAAATGTTAATGTAGATTTCTATAAATGTAACTGTTCAATTGCACAGAGTATGATTTATAAAGAATTCTAGAACTTGGAATAACAAGTACTCATTGTATCCGTGATATTATTCATATTAGTAGCATCAGCAAGAACAGTCTCTTTTCTAATTAGTGACTTTTACCAGAGTCTCAGAAATTACCTTATTTGAAGGTCAAATATAGCGGGTTATAATTTGCTCATATCTCACTGAGCTATTTCTTAAAAATTGTATTTAAATTTGCATCTTTCTAAGATCTTGGTATTTCTTTTCACTCAAGAAGGCTATTAAAAATTTCCATTATTAAAATATTAATCTCCATGAAGGAGTGGCATGAGTGACCAGCTGTGATTAGAACAACCAAACTTCAGGGGGGGAAAGTTGCCACTTTCCTCTAATTAAGAGGAGAAGGTTTTTTTTTTTTTTTAATACAACTCATAATAACTGTGAAAGTGTAGTGGTTAATGGAAGTGTATAATTACTAACAATAATTATTTTGAAACAGTAGTTCTGGGAATAGCTGGTAGTCTGTATGAATGAGGTAAACATAAAATGGCTGAGAGTGTGTTTGAATAGGGGTACACACAGGAGAAAGAGTGGTGCCAAGTACCACAGAGACACTCATGTCAACCAGATTAAAGAACATTCTAATTCTTTTCCAGAGTGTCTAATAAATTCAAAGAGAAAATAAAAAATGAGAAAAATAATATCAAATTTCTGGCATTTCAGTGGTGGTTTATGAGATCTACATATACACTGGCAGGACACCAGGTGCTGAGACAGAATCCAATGTATTTATCAACTCATCGGCTCCAGAGGAGATTCAGGGAATCGAAGGCTCCATCAATCCAAAAATAACAAAGTTAAGTTTCAGCGTGGACAGGTAATAGAAAGATCCTTATAAATTGTTACCCACCATCCTTCATTTAATTTCTTTAGCTAAAAAGCAACACAAACAAAAAATTCCTGAGATGGTCATTTGGCTTCAAATAGGAAATACAGAAAGGTGTGGTCACTTCTTGGGGTGCATCCTATTGTTCTGGGGTTGAGTTGAGGTGGAACTCAATCAAACCATGCAACCATAGTAAGTCTAAGTTTCTTCTTCTATTAAAAATAATTGAAAAAACTAAAAACAATCAAGATTCCACTTCCAGCTAGGTCAGTCTAACTTGTAAAAAAATGACCATCCTGCTGAGGACTAGAAATGTTTGATAAGCATCTTTTAAATTTGGCTTAAAGGCAATGGAGAGCTAGCTGTCAAGGTAGTTAGGGCTTGAAGGTCCAAGATTCTGGAGAGAAAAAAGTGGTAAAGGAGAACCTGATATTCAACATAACTGTCTTCCATTTGCAAGTGGAAGCTTAGAAGCAAGAAGCCAGTCAGAAAATGACAGTGAAGAACCTGAGATGCTGGGCAGAGGGACTCAAGAGGTTTCATCAGGCTGGGATTCGATATGGGCCCAGCAGTAAAGACAGGCCTTATTAACTCCCACTTGAAATGTGGGACCTTCATGTGAATTATTCCAAAGCAGAGCCTAGGGCAGATCCTGCAAGGATGGTGGTCCTAGGACAAAGAAGAAATGTAGGAAAGGAGAGATGGAAAGAGATGGAGTCAATATGGTACAGATGTGCATTCTAGAGGTTACTGGTGTTTGCAGCAGGGACTGGATCCCTTGGACCTCAGCTAATAGACTGTCAACATAGGAGGGATAACTAAAGCAGCCTTCAGAGAAGGGAGCCCATGTCCTAGGGCCATGCATGCCTCCACCCTTACAATCATGCTTCTTCCATCCATGGGCCCATTACATAACAAGCACTTGGGTGGACAAGGCAAGACTTCTATATAGAATATTCCAAAATATTATGTAAAAAATTGAAAAAGACATAAATTAATAAGATATACTCTGTTCTTGGATTCAAATACTCAATATTATAAAGTTCTTACTTTTCTCCTAATTATCTGCAGTTTTATTGAAATGCCAATCAAAATGCCAGACATACTTTTATGGAAACTATCAATCTAATTATAAAAGTTATGCGGAAATTCAGAGTCAATTATACTCAAAAGAATCTTGAAGATCATCAGTTTTGAGAAAAACAAAATTGTAAGGTTTATATCAGATATAAGGATTTATTTCTTATTGAAGTAATCAATATACCATTAATTGATAGAAGGCAAGACAAATAGAACAAAAAAACAGAAGAGAGTCAGGAAAGATTTCCATATCCTGATATGCAGCATCAAAGAAAGGATGGTCCTTTCAATAAATCCTGAGAGTAAATTGAATATTATTATAGAAAAAAAGAAATTCTGGGCCTTATTTATACTAAACCCAAAAATCAACTCCATGCAAATTTAGGTCTAAATATCTAGAAAATAACAAGGAACTTATCATGACCTTAGGGGTAGACTACGATTTTTAAAAGTTGTAGCAAAATACATATGACATGAAATTTACTGCCTTAATGATTTTAAGTGTACAGTTCAGTGACATTGAATACATTCACACTGTTGTGCAACCATCACCACCAACCATTTTCAGAAAACTTCTTATCCTGTGGAACTGAAACTCTATGCCCATTAAACAGTATTTCCTTTTCCCCCTTTTATCCCATCCTTGCCCCTAGCAACCACCATTTTATTTTCAGTCTCTCTTAGGTTCCTCATCTAAATGGAATTATACAGTATTAGTCTTTCTGTGAATGGCTATTTCTCTTAGCACAAGGTCTTCAAGTTTCACCTGTATTGCAGCGTGTGTCAGAATATCCTTTTTTAAAGGCTGAATAATATTCATTATATGCATATATTACATTTTGTTTATTCATTCATACATCAGTGGATTAATTGCATTCATCTATTAATTGCATCAATCAATGGATTAATGCAATTTGGGTTGCTTCCGCATTTTGGCTATTGTGAATAATGTGTGTACACATATAGACTAAGATTTTAAAGAGAAAACAAAGAAAACACTAAGCAAAAAGGAAAAAAATATATAAATTACACAGTATAAATATTGAAAAGTCACATTCTTTAAGACATCATTAAGAGAGTAATGAAGTCTTAAAAAAACAAGTCACAAAGGGAGAGAAAGTATTGTAAAATATATACTGGCACAGGACTTGTTTCCAGGTGATACACACAATGCTCCCAAATCAACAAGGAAAAGGCAGATAACCCAGTTTAAAATATGAGCATTATATTTGAATATATACTTTTTTTAAAAAGGATATCTAAATAGCCAATAAACATGAAAAATATATCCAACTGTATCATGAAAATACAATAAAAACTATGATGAAGTGTCACTGTGCACAATCAAATGGCTTAAGCTTAAAAAGAATCACAATGCCATGTACTGATTAGTCTGTGGTACCCCTTGAACTCTCATCACTGATCATTCAGAGAGCATTATATTGTGTTAAGCATTTAGAAAAGTTGAGACTATTTACTAAATCTTTATAACCAAGCAATCCCTTAACAGAAATGTACACAAATATACACAAAAAGACACTTGGAAGAATATCTAAGCAGTATCATCTGTAACAGTCAAAACCCAGAAACTACTATTATCCACAAGCAGTAGATAAGTAATTTGGAATAATATTCTGTAATGAAAATCAACAAAGTGCTTTTAAACAAAGCAATATGGGTGAATTTCACAAACATTGAGTGAAATAAGCCTGGCAGAAAGAGAGCACACTGTGTTATTCTGTCAGTGGTCCTAGACCTGGAAGAAATAATTAAAAGTGTCAAAATTCAGGATAGTGATTACCACGGAGGGAAATAATGACTGGGGTGTGTGAAGGAGGAGTCTTGGGAACCTGTTAATGTTTTATTGGTGTGGTGTGTGCATTGAGTATATTGTGCATTTGTAATTTGTGCACTTTATATTGAGTTTGTTTAAAAATTTTGTATGTATATGTACATATACATATTCAAATGCATTATTTAGAAAGAAAAGCTAATGAGAGGTGAACAACAGTGGTGGAAAGCACACCTTCTGGAGTCAGATGGGCTCAGTGCGGACTTGGTCATTCATTAGATGTTGACCTTGGGCAAGTAATTTACTTCTGTATGTCTTGGACTCTTCAACTATAAAGTAGGAAAATAAGTAAAAAATTAGTAGGAGTAGACTTAAAGTAAGTGCTATAACTAAATTTAAATGTATTTTTTACTAGACTGTATGATTGAGGAGTGCAAGAATTATGTTGTATGTTTGCATATTTTCCATAAAGCATAGTGTAGGATTTGGTGCATGAAATAGTAAATGGTGACTTTTTATAGTCGTAGTAATAATGATACAGTAGTAAGATAAATAATATAGTAATGTAGTAATATATTACTAGAATTACTAATAATGCACTAATAGCAATGCTTTTTTTCCCTAGAGAAATAGAATGTCCTAGTAAGTCACTCAGTTTGTTTGCTTTTTTTATTGTACAGGTTGATATTTTTTCCATTGAGGCAGTGTCTCTTGGAAAATTAAAGAAAATTCTGATTAGTCATGATGGCACAGGTCCGGGTAAGGTTTGTTTACTTAGTAAGAGGTTTGTTCTGAAAATTTATTAAAAGTAGCATAACTCGCAGGTGAAACAGAAGATTAATGTGCAGGTCATGTAAAATTGGGATGAGAAAATAATTTCCTTTTAAGAAATTACAGTTAAATGAAGTTTTGTCACATTAGGTTTAGTGTATGACTTTAAAAGATCACTGCTACGTTATTATGAAGAAAATTTCCTAGAAATACAAAAGCTTTAGTATATATGTGTGTGTGTATTCAAAATTGCATCTATCATGTTTCCCTATCTATGTGTTTCTCCTAGGTTCCCTACCCCACATTCTTTATAAAACCAGTAACTTGGAAATCATCCTGGATTCTTCCTTTCTCTTCTTATCTTCTATCCCTCCCACACCTGTTAAATAAATCCAGTCAATTCTAATTCATTAATATCTCCTTTATCATTTTCCTTTGACCACAAAAAAAAAAAAAAAAAGGAGATCAGAGGAGAGGGCGATAGGAGAGAATGGGGGAAAAGGTATAGGGAATAAGAAGCATAAATAGTAGGTACAAAATAGACAGGGAAAGGTTAAAAATAGTGTAGGAAATGGAGAAGCTGAAGAACTTACATGTACAACCCATGGATGAACTATGGGGGTGGAGAATGCTGGTGGGAGGGGCAGGCACAAAGTGGAGAGAAATAAAGGGGAGAAAAAAATGAGACAGCTGTGATAGCATAATCAATAAAATATATTTTAAAAAATTCAAATATAAGTTTGTTTTTTTAGCTGCTAAAATGCAACTAAATATTTTAATTTATATCATAGCACCTAAAATAAAATATTTATTACATTTATTTATATACCTTTTTATTCCTTTCTGCTGGATTTTGAATTTTTTGAAGTCTGGCATTACATATTATTCAACTTTATTCTCCCAATGCCTAGTAAAATAGAATTTAATTAATTACCACTTATTGGATGAATGGACTTAAATCAGTGAAATTATTTTCAGTAAAGCTCTTTAAAAGAAATGTGGAGAGTTTAAAAGTGGCCTTTGCAAGAAAGAATCATGTGTATTTTAGATACAAACCAAAGAGAAAGGAAGATGAAAAGAGAAGATAGAAATGTATAGAAAGAAAATAGACACATGTTAAAATAAGTTGAGGACCACATAGATGAACTTATTAGAAAGAGGCAGAAATAAGACACTGAACAGAGGAAAGAAAGATGTAATATACTGTCTTCTATATTAGGTGTCACTGTAGAGTGGTATGAGTGGTACTTTTGCATTCTTTTCATGAAAGATGGAAAATAATGTTGAGATTTAGTTTTTATCCCAAGTCTCCCCTAGAAACAGTATGTGGATTTGCAGAATAGCGATGAGAATCCAGACTGCAGACTTTGGTACGGATCAGAACAGAGCAGCTAATAGAAATCGCTGGCTTAATTGGCCTCTAGTTTTTTAAAATCATTTTGATACTCCTCTTGGTTGTGAGACAAGGAACCAGTGTTAGGAGATCTTACACTTCAGGTCAAAGGTGAACAAGTTAGGGGTTTATTTGAAGTAGCAGGATGGACATTTAAAGGGTAAGGTTGGAAGGAAAAGATGGCGGAGGAGTGATTGGGAGTCACGCTGACCTCCTCCCAAGACCAAACTGGAATTGCGACTAAATAGTGGAGTAATCACCTGGAAAATAATGGAACAATAGTGGGAGAGGAGCCTTGGAGCCGCGGACAGACAGTGAATTCAACTCTCACTCATCCCAACGGGTGAGAAGTGTGGTGGAGGCCCAAGAGGGTGAGCTGTGTGCCCACGGGCACTAGCACCAGACGGATATTGAAATGGCCAGTTAGCTCCCCCCGAGAAGAACGGGGTCTGAGCCATAAACAGGGACCCCTAAACTACAGCAGCTAAAACTAGGAAAATACAGACAAAAGGCAACCCCAAAAAGCTTAGGGGCGCTCTCTGCCAGAGACAGGTGGCTGGGGATGCAAAGAGACATTTAAAGGGCCAGTGCAAAAATTGCAGTGGCAGCCGCCCTCCTTGATCTCTGGGTAGAGGCGGCAGCGGGGTGGGCTGGTGCCTGGGAAAAGGCTGGTGAGGAAAACTTTGTGAAGAGAACTGAGAGGGTGGCCCGTGGAGCCCCGGTGATAATGCACCTCCCACTCTGCAGCTACCATCTCGCTCAGGCATAAGGGAATCAATTAACCTGCCTTTTGTGCGCTCCGCACACAGCTTGTGTGCGTGTGAGCTGGGGGGCTGAGTGCAGACTGGCTGGGAGAGCCTTGAGGAGAGACTGGATACGGAGGCGTTGGGCAAAGAACGGGAGGAGGAACCGGGGAGTCCCGACTTCCTCCCCATTCTGTAGTCTCCATTCTGGGCAGGCAGGGCGCCCCCAAAGAGGGAGAAGCAGGATGCCACGAACCAGACTGCCCACGATTGCAATGCTGTCCGCACAGGTAGTGGATCCTTGGCCGAAGGGGTCACAGAACTACCCAGAGACCCCTGGGGAGGGACTGGAGACAGAGGTGTTGGGGAAAGAACCGGGGGAGGAAACGGGGAGTCACGACTCCTTCTCCTTTCCCTAGTCTCCATTGTGTGGGAAGAGGCCTCACCCTCAAAGAGCCAAAAGCCAAAAAGCACACAATAGAGAGCCCAAAACCACCCAGTGCAGGCGTGCAAACTTGAACGGAGTGGCCAGCCAGGGTTGGCGAGTGTGTGTGTGACCCACGCGGGCTGGTGAGTGCTTGCACCGGCTGGCAAGGCCTCCCACAGGTTGACACTGATCGGGCCTGCGAGGGAGTGTGCAGATGGGCGAGGGCAGGTATAAATCGACCCGCAGGGGTCCGCGAGTGCAGAGCAGTCCGCAGAAATAGTGGATCCCCGGCCGAAGGGGTCACAGAGCTGCCCAGAGTCCCTAGAGGAGAGAATGGAGACAGGATTAACGGGAGAGTCCTGGAGCTGACTTTCTCCCATTTCCATAGTCTCCATTGGTGAAGGCAGGCAACATATCCAAAGAGCCAAAAGCGGGGAAAGCACACAATAGAAGACCCTAGACTGACCAGTGCTGGGGTGCCCGCTAGCCTGGGGACCCAGACCAAACGCGAGGTTGCGAAAGCCCCCTGGGTTGGGGCAAGCACGCGTGAGCCCAGGCAGGCAAGGGATCCTGCCGGGCAGAGGAGCGCAATCAAGGAGCCGGCGTGAGAGTACAGAGCGATCCACAGACATAGTGGATCCCTGGCGGAAGGGGTCACAGAGCTGCTCCAAGCAGGAGTCAGACACAGACAGTAGACTCCTGGAAGGCGCAAACAAGCGACACAAGGTCATATAGGGTCAACAACTGACATCATCAGAGGCAGGCCCAGAAGAAAAGTAAAGGAAATAAATAAATAAATAAATATAAAGACCCGCCTACTACCATAGAAGTTTAATCCACAAAGTCAGGATATCTAGACGGCCGAATAGAAGCAGTACCAAAAATAAATAAATACATAAATAAATAACTTAACAGACTCTCACAAAAATGGGAAGAAAAAGAAGTTTTCCCCAAACGAGTGGAAAAGAGGACTCCCCACAGAGAGAGCTCAATGAAATAGAGGCAAGGGAACTATCAGATACTGAATTCAAAACAATGGTTCTAAGGAAGCTCAATGAGCTCAGCCAACACAAAGATAACTGAGAAACTGCAGAGAAGCTATCAGGATCTTACAGCAAACTATATCAACCTGGAAAGACATAGACACAATCAAGAAGACACAAGAGGATATGAAGAATACCATTTCTGAATATAAGAACACAGTAGAAGGAATCCAAAGCAGGCTGGATGAAGCCGAGGATCGAATCAATGAGATGGAGGATAAGGTAGAAAGAAGCTTCCAGAAAGAACAAGAAATGGAAAAAAGACTCAAAAAGAATGAAGAGACATTTAGGGAAATGCAGGACAACCTGAAACACAATAATATCCGTATAATAGGGATACCAGAAGGAGAAGAAGAGGAGCAAGGGATAGAGAACCTCTTCGAAAAAGTAATGATGGAAAATTTCCCTAATTGGAGGAGAGAAAGGGTCTGATGAGTCCAGGAGGCACAGAGGACCCCACTCAAGAGGGACCCAAGGAGGTCCACTCCAAGACACATCATCATTAAAATGGCAAATGTCAAAGACAAAGAGAGAATCCTCAAGGCAGCAAGGGAGAAGGAGAAAGTAACATACAAGGGGGCCCCGATACGTCTAGGAGCTGACTTCTCAACAGAAACACTACAAGCCAGAAGGGAATGGCAACAAATATTCCAACTCATGAAAAGCAAGGGCCTACAACCAAGGCTGCTCTACCCAGCAAGGCTCTCAATTAAAAAAGAAGGGGAAATAAGGAGTTTCCCAGACAAAAGAAGGCTAAAAGAATACATCTCTACCAAACCAGCACTCCAAGATATGCTAAGGGGACTGGTTTAAGAAGATGAAGGAAAAGAGTGAGAAAGAGAAAAACACAGGTACAAAGAGAAAAAATGAATAATTTCTATCAGTAATAACTCTCAATGTAAAGGGACTAAATGCTCCAATCAAAAGACCCAGGGTAGCTGAATGGATAAGAAAACATGACCCACACATGCTGCCTACAAGAGACCCACCTCAGAGCAAAAGACCTACACAGATTTAAAGTAAATGGATGGAAAAAAATATTCCAAGCAAATGGGCAAGAGAAAAAGGCCGGGGTTGCCATGCTTGTATCAGACAAAGTAGATTTCAAAGCAAAGGCCATAAAGAGAGACCCAGAGGGGCACTTTATAATACTTAAAGGAAGAATCTATCAAGAAGACATAAACATTATAAACTTACATGCTCCCAATATAGGAGTCCCCAAGTATATAAGGAAATTGTTGGAGGACTTCAAAAAAGATATAGACAGCAACACACTGATAGTAGGGGATTTTAACACCCCACTGTCAAAAAAGGACAGAGCTTCCAAACAAAACATCAATAAGGATATTGGGAAGCTGAATGATGCATGGAATCAAATAGAC